TCCGCAGGCTTCATCCCAGGCGAGGTCCGAAGCAGGAGTCAGGTACAGGGCGCCGCAGGCATCCCACTTCTGGAGCAGGGCCCACAGCTCGGCGCGGTCAATATGGACACGCGCCCCCTTTTGGCCAGCAGGCCACTCTGACGCCGGGAGCCGCATCTCCTCTGGATTGATGAACGCTTCGCGGACTCGAGCGTCAGAGAGAAATGGAATGGGATCAAACACTGGCGAATAATCCCACTTAATGCGAGACGCCCTGACCTTTAAATCAAAGGGCTCGACCTGGGTGGAGTCCCAAGCCGCCGCAGACGCCAGCGAACCAGGCACGGAAGGAGCGCTGGTCGGGCAGTGCCGCATGGGGGCGGGCACGGAAGAAGAGGAGGTGAAGGAGGCCCCCAAAGCTGCAACATGGGTGGCCAGGCCATGGAGCGAGACCTCAGTAGAGTCGAACTTGGCGAAGGCTCGACCTAAGTCGCTCTTGCCACCACGGGCGAGGCGAACTGCGATCCGACACAACCGTTCGATACGGGTGCGGACGCCCTCCTGGCAGGGCGAGACCGTGGCACGGACGCGAGCCTCGGCGGGAGCGAGGCTAGGATGACCCAAAGTGAGCAAGTTCAACGCAATAACAGAATACTGCGCGAGCGTCCGCGCCGCGCGCCGCAATCTCCAGCGCTCCCTGCGCCTCGCCGACAAGCCGTCAGGCGGGGGACCAAGAGGTGGAGCAGGCGGGCACGGCCAAGGATCGCGGGGAGGCGGCCCCAAAAGGTACGGGTCGTCCCGGTCCATTGCACGCATAGATGAGCGGGAGAAAGATCCAAGAGAACATCGAGCACCCATCCCAACCTGGACAGCGCTGCCGCCCAGTGGGTGATATCAATGTTCGCACCTGGAAACAGGCGCAGCAAGGCAGACAAGTCAGCGACAAATGGCGCGACGTTGGCAAGAGCAGCAGGGGTGCTTGAAGGAGAACAAGCACCAGCACGAACACCAACCTCAGGGGCTGCAGGCCCCATGGGGGGAGCGCTCGACTGAGGCAGGTGACGGCCAAAATGGCCGAATGGATCCGAGGGGCGGTTCGGAGCAGAGCGAGGGGCGTGGTGGCGGAACGTACTCCTCCCTGCGGGGCCGCAACAGCATCGCTGGAGAAGCGCATTCCTACCCTCACGCCCTCGCTGCGCCCAAACACGCCTAGCAGCCGTAGCAGCGTCGGTGCAGACTGTCTGCGGCGGCGTACCCCGGCCACGCGAAGGCCCCCCCTCCAAGAAGGCGGGCGCCAAGGGCATCTTCAGTCCGTCTTGGGCACCGCCTTCGGGGCCTTGGGAGCACCCTGAGACTTGAAGGGGGGCTTTGAGACCTTGGGCTGCTTGGGCTGATGAGGTGGATGCTTGGGGAACGCGACGGCGCGCTCGGCGTCGAGGCGCGCCCGAAATGCTTGCAGCTCCTTCATGTATTCGCCCTGCGCCGACAGCCAGCGAGGATCCACTAGGGGTGAAAACTGGGTCTGGGCCTCGCGCTCCGTGTGACGACTGGTCACGCGACACGGGGGAGGCTCCAGCCCCGTGAGGAACCAAGCGGCCTCGAGGTAGCCGCGGTCCCCCGCCAACTGGCCGATGAACATGCACTGGCAAGTCAGCAAGGTCTGGACCCTCTCGGGGTTGCCCTCCTCGCAGGCCCGCCACAGCTCGGCGCTGAGGAAGGCAAAATGCGTCAACAACTCGTGCGTCGACGGCTGAGCCCCGAGGGGGCTGTGCTCTCGAAAGTACTGATGCATGGCCATGGGGGTCACGGCGCTGACTTCCACGCCCAGAACGCGGGCCAAATTCTCCTTCATCAGTCCTCGCACGTCGGGGCCGTGCTGCATCAGCGCTTGCTGCCACTCGCGCCTCCGAGCGATTCCCCCCATCTGAACCGACGCGTGCGCGGGGTCGCCCGAGGTCGCGGGCGGAGTTTGAGCTTGGTCGCTCAGGGTCCCCAGAAGCGGGTGGAAGGCTGGGCGATGGCCCCGCCCCTGCTGCAAGGAAAGGGACTGGTGCAGGCACTGAAGCATGAGGCTGAAGTCCGTCGGATTGGCCGCAAGGGGCGGCTCTAACCCGTCGGCGCCGCCCACCTCGGCAAAGCCGTCGACCGCAGCGGGATAGGCTAGCCCAGGCGGCGGCGGGGGCCCATCGGTCCGAAAGCGGACGAAGGGGCCCGAGGGACAGCAGAAGAGCGCGCCTTCTCCCACGCCGAGACCAGCGCGGAGGTGGGTCCCTTGGGGCGCGCGGAGACCCGATGAGGGGCCACGGGTGCGTGGGACAAGACGGCCTCGATCCCCGCAGGATCCAGCCCGAGGCGCGCCGCTTCGTCGCTGAAAAGCTGAGGCGCCTCGGGCCGAGCGCTCTGGGCAGCCGGAGCGGGGCCCAGCGGTTCGGGTCCGCCGACCATCGTGGAGGCCGCGTGGGCTGCAAGCAAGGCGCGCATTTCGGCAGCTACCTCGGCGCGGGTCATGGGAGCCCCGTCGTCCAGAGACGCCGCAGGAGCGCCAGGAGCAATCGGAGCAGGACCCGCGACCCGTGGCGGCGCGGCGGCGCCAGCGCGCTTGGCGGGCGGGCCGCGCGGCGCTCCAGCGACCGCGGGGGCTCGCGCACTGGGGGCCGCGCGGTCGGCTTCCCCGTCGGCCGCGAACCCCTCGGGCTCCTCCATCTCGTCGGCAGAGTGGTAGGGGGTAGCCCGATCGGCCCCTGGGAGAGGCTCTTCCCCTGCGGTAGGCGGGGCGCCGTGCAAACGAGCGTAGCCCTCGCGAAGCACCCGAACCCCAGAAGGATGCGGCCAATAGACGCGGCTGCGCACCTCGGCGAAGGGAACGATGCCTGCGTCGTCGCCGACCTCTAGAGGGTACAGCGACTCGAGCTCGAGCTCGGAAACCTCGATATCTATAACGAGGACGGATGCGGTAGTGGCGAGCGGTCGTGAAGCGGCCCCCTGGAGCTGGACGTCCACTAGCTGGAAGGGGCCTATCATCCCAGCAAAGCCATCCGCCTCGGCAGCCTCGAGCTCCGCTGTAGAGCGAAAGGCACCAGGCAGGGCCAGCAGGATGCCCCCTTCTCGAGAGGCGAGGGGGATAGCCGCCAGCTGGTGTCGCCGTCGTCTAGGCGCCATCGTGCGTAGTCGCGCGCCGTGGGCGCAGCGAAAGGGTAGAGCTCGGGCCAAAGGGGCCCTCCGCCAACTGGTGGCAGCTCCGCCATCAGTGGGCGCCGCCGTGGACGCCGCCGCCCGCACGCTGGGCGTCTGCCCGCTCGAGCGCTTGAGGGCGAGGCGGAGCCCCGTAGGCCAGCGCTCGCGCCGCACGGCGGTCCTGCTCAGGTGAAGCAGAAACCGCGCCGCGCGGCCAGGCGGAGGGCCAGAGCCTCCGCCACGCGTACGGGCCCAGCAGCCCGACGCAGCAGCCCGCGCAGGCGCTGCAGGCGGCCGTCACCCAGAGGAGGGCGGCGACCGTGCTGAGCAGCCAGGGAGAGACCCCGCCGCTCAGGTCCACCGCCAGCCCGAGGCAGACGGTGGGGCAGGTGGAACCCGCCGAAGGGAGAGGGCAGGAGGCCCCCTCGCCCTCGGACGAGTCCGCCTGCAGGTTGGACCAGGCAGGAGCTGGAGGCCCCTGGTCCTGAAGCACAGAGAGGGGGGCAGCCACGAGCCGCTCGTAGAGCGCGGCCCGCAGCCCCCTGACCAAAATCTCCCCAGCGCCCTGGAGAGCCGCTTGTGCGACCGCCTGCATAAGGCGCCCGCACGCGCGGCCGACGGGGGGCACTTGGGCAGAGAAGCTGCGGAGACAGCAGGAGCTTGCTCACAGAGAATAGAAGAGGCATGACGATGCTGATGATGAGTACGAGTACGATGATGCTGATGAGGATGCTGAAGATGATGCTGGTGATGATGACACTGATGATGAACATGCGGATGATGAGGATAAGGGTAATGATGATGGTGAGGACGACGAGGATGAGGATGAGGATGAGGAGCATGCTGGTGACGATTAGTAGTATGATGATGACGGTGATGATGATAATGATGATGATGCTGATGATGATGATTACGATGGCGACGAAGATGATGATGTGTATGATTGCTTCCGCGCGCTTCAGGAATTTGCACAAGGCTGTCCCCGAACTGGGCACTTCCCTAAATGCAAATGAACCCTTGCAGGGGCCGATGAAGAGGGAGCTTGGAAGGAGGGTGTATTCCAACATCGTTGATGAGTCTTCGGTTTACGCTATGGTCTCCTCCTCTCCGCCCCCTCCTGTCCTCCGCCCCCTCCTCCTCCTCCTCCTCCTCCTCCTCCTCCTCCTCCTCCTCCTCCTCCTCCTCCTCCCTCCTACCTATGGTAGTGGTAGTGGAATATCGGCCCACTATTTCTGCCTCATTTTTATCGAGCCGGATCGATCTGTGAGGGCCTCGCAGGCCCGAAACCGGGCGAAAACGCCCGGGCGCAACAAACTGCAACGCCCAGAGGTCTGGTCACCATGTTTTCGAGCCATGTGAGGGCCCCGGGGTGCCCGAAACCGGACGGAAACGCCCGGGCGCAACAAATTGCAAAACGCCCAGCTCTCAGGCTCCTAGACACCCTGACCCCTGATCCGCGGTACTTCTTGGGCGATGTCATAAGTAGGGCAAGGATATCCGCCCTGCAGCGAAAAATATAATCAAGAATTACTTCAGAAGCCTGGGCCAGCTTCCCAGAAATTCATTGAGACAAACCTGGGCCAGCTGTTTTTGTTGACGCTGGAAGGGAGAACGTGCGCAAGAAACTGGGCCAGTTGTCTGGCAAATTGGCGAAGAAACGCTGGCCCAGCTTCTGGGGAGGCTTCTTGATCAGATGCTCTACTGTAATTGTCAAGCTCCTCTGATGACCCCCTGCTCTGGCGTCGCTGCTTTTCGCCATACTGTACATGCTTCTGCGGACATGCCAGCCGCACTTCTCTGAAGCGGAAACTTCCGCCCTACCTTTTCTCAGCATGGAGGGTGCATTCCGATATAATTCTGCAAGTCGGGAAATCAGCTAAAGTTCTGGAAAAGCTACGGGATGCGCACAGACAACCCCCCCAGGAGGTCCCAGCTGGCCTCAAGAGGCCCCCCGACGAGTTCGGGGCGGTCTCAACACCTCAACCCTGGCGAAGGCGGCGCCCGGCTGTTGAGACCGCCCCGGACTACTCGGGGGGGGCTGTTGAGGCTAGCTGGCACTACTCGGAGGGCATGTTGAGGCCAGCCGGGACAACCTGGTGGAGCTGTCTGTGCGCAAAACCCGAAGCCTCACCAGATCCGAAGTCAGGGCAGCAAGACTCTGGGGCTTTCGCGGACACCGCCCCTCGCTAACAGTATCGCAAGACAGATTGCGGCCCTCAGAGACACCTTGTCTGTTCCCAGCGTCGCCAGAGCGCCCTCGGCACGGGCAACCCACTCGTGCTCGATGTCGGCGCGGTCATCCCTGCACACGGTAATGAGGACGAGGAGACCTGTTTTGAGCTGTCTTGTCAACCCTGAGGATCACTCAGCAGCATGCACCCAGCAAGACACGCAACCACCTCGATAACGGCACAGGAGCCCCGCTGAAGGCTTGACCCGGCACCTCCCCATTGGGCGGAGGAAAAGAAAGAGGAAGAGGAGGAGGAGGAGGAGAACGAAAATCAATAACCGTGCTAGAGCACCATTCCTGGGACTTCAACGCCACGAGCCAGCCTTACTTATGCGTCTTGGCGATCCTGAATCGTGCCAGAACACCAATCCTGGAACTTCAGCACCGCGAATTCACGAAATTGTTGGGCCCTGGCACTCTTGCATCGCTCCAAAACAATGTTCTCGGACGTTAGCCATGCTGATCCTTGAAACTGCTGCAGACAATAAGGACGAATGTGCGCGGCGCCGCGGCGAAAGCCACATTTCAAAAGAAGAGCCGCCCTGCGCAGACTGGGTCCGGTGGTGGCTTTACTTCCGGTTCCGGTTCCGGTTCCGGTTTCGGTTTTGGTTCTGGTTCTGGTTCCAATTCTGGTTCCGGTTCCGGTTCCGGTTCCGGTTCCGGTTCTTGTGTTCCAGTTTCGGTTTCCTTCTTCTTCCAGGCCTGAACAAAACCTTCAGGTTCTGGTTCCGTTCTGGTTCCTGTTCCAGTTCCGGTTTCTTTCTTCTTCGGGGGTTTGAAAAACACCCCCCATGGGTCAGGGCTCTGGTTCCGGTTCTGGTTCCAGTTCTGGTTACAAGTTCCTTTTTCCTCTGGCCTTGGAAAAAAAAACTGGTTCCTGTTCCGATTATGGTTCCGGTTCGGGTTTCCTTTTTCTTCTGCATGGCCTCGAAAAAAGCCCCCTGGTCACAGTTCCGGTTCTGGTTCCGGTTCCATTTCTGGTTTCCTTTTTCTTCATGGCCTCGAAGAAAGCCCCCCTGGTCACGGTTCCGGTTGTGGTTCCAGTTTCCTTTTTCTTCTGGCCTCGAAGGCCCCCCTGCCTGGTCAGGGTTCTGGTTCTGGTTCCGCTGCCGGTTTCCTTTTTGTTCTGGCCTCGAAGAAAGCCCGCCTGCAGTCACGGTTCCGGTTCTGGTTCCGGTTCCGGTTTCCTTTTTCTTCTGGCCTTGAAAAAAGCCCCCCTGCAATGCCGGTGCTGGTTCCGGTTCCGGTTCCGTTCAGGCCTTTTCTTCTGGCCGGTTCTGGTTCCGGTTGTTCGTTTTTCTTCTTGCCTTGAAAAAGGCCCACCCGGTCATGGTTCCGGTTCCGGTTCCGGTTTCCTTCTTCTTCTGGCCTCGAAGAAAGCCCCCCTGGTTACGGTTCTGGTTCTGGTTCCGATTTATATTTTTCTTCTGGCCTCGAAGAAGGCACCCTGATCACGGTTCTGGTTCTGGTTCCGGTTCCAGTTCCGGTTTCCTTCTTCTTCTGGCCTTGAAAAAAGCCGCCCTGGTCACGGTTCCGGTTTCTTTTTTCTTCTGGCTTCGAAAAAGGCCCCCCAAATCACGGTTATGGTTCCGGTTCTGGTTTTGGTTCCAGTTTCTTTCTTCTTCGGGGTCCCCCATGACGGTTTTGGCTCCTGTTCCGGTTGTGGTTCTGGTTTTCTTCTTCTTCGGGGCTCCCAAGAAGACCCCCCAAGTCACGGTTTTGGTTCCGGTTCCGGTTCTGGTTCTGGTTCCCTTCTTCTTCTTCTTCTTCTTCTTTGGTCCGTGACGGTCGTCGTGGTTCTGGTTATGGTTCCGGTTCCGGTTTCGGTTTCCTTCTTTTTTGCGCCCAAAGAAGCCTCAGATTTTGGTTATGGTTCTGGTTCCGGTTCCGGTTTCGGTTTCCTTCTTCTTCCGCGTCCCGAAGAAGGCCTCCTCCAGTTCCGGTTCTGGTTCTGGTTCCGGATCCGGTTTCCTTCTGCTTATTCTTCTTCTTTGGTTCGGGGGGTCCTCCAGGTCCCCGTTCCAGTTCCGGTTCGGGTTCTGGTTCCGGTTTGGGTTTCCTTTCTTGCGGCCCTCTTCCGTTCTGGTTTTGGTTTCGGTTCCGGTTCCAGTTTTGGTTCCAGCTTCCTTCTTCTTCCCCCTGCCGAAGAAGGGTGCCGAAACGACCACCAGACCCACACTCGCCCTCCGTCCGTGAAACTCTTGCAAAATTGCGACGAGTGTGCGCGGCGCGAAGGCGAGAGCCTCATCTTGAAGGCGGCCCTTCCTCAATCCGCGAAGCCCTTGCATCTTGTGAGGACGAATGTGCGCGGCGCTCACGCGCGAGCCTCATTTTGAAAGCGGCCTGCCCTCCATCCGTGAATCTGCGGCAAATTTCAAGCGTAAGGGTCATAAGCCTTTCGTAAGCGGTGAGGAAGTCTCGGGCGAAACGCCAGGCCCGCCCTACCGACGCGTCTCGGGGTGCGACAGGGAGGATTTACCTTGTATAAGGACAAGGGATGGAGGAGGCGGATGATGATGATGAGGAGGGGGAGGAGGAGGAGAAGGAGGAGTAGGGGGAGAGGGGAGGGGGAGAGGGGAGGGAGGGAGGAGGAGGGGGATGAGGAAGCAATATCAACTGTACGTAAACCTCGCGGGCGCTGTCCTTGTACGTGTTGGGGGCCAATCGGATGTCGCTGATGCCCTGCGAGACGAAGCGCAGCATCTCGTCCTCAAGCGGCGAGCAAGTAGGGGCAGGGGCAGGAGGAGGATAGAACGGAGAAGCGGAGAAATGGAGAGGGGACAAAGAAAAGACAGAGAGACAGACAGAGACCAGGTCAGATAAGGGGAACACCAGGCGGGAAGGGAGTGAAGAGAGAGGAATGAAGAACGAAGAGGAAGGAATGAGGAGGAGGAGAAGGAGGAAGAGGAACGAGGACTTTCTGGACTGCAGCGAGCCTGCGTCAACGGTACGCGTCATGTTGGGCCATAATCCGCCCGCGGGCGTCCACCCGATAACAAAAAATAGAGCTGCGCAGGAAAAGTACCTCTCGGACTGGTACCCTCAGGACTGACCAAGATCTGAGGTGAGAGCAAGCGAGAAAGAGAGAGAGAGAGAGAGGGAGAGAACACAAGAGAGAGAGAGAGGAAAAAAAACATAAGGAATAAGATAGAGAGCCTCCTGCTCCTCCTCCTCCTCCTCCACCCTCCGAACTCCCCTCCCCCCCTCCCTCCTTCCTCCTCCTCTCTCCTCCTCCTCTTCCTCCTCCTCCTCCCTCCACTCTCATCCTCTCCTCCTCCCCCTCCTCCTCCCCCCCCCCTCCCCCCCCTCTCCCGCCCCCTCCCCCTCCCCCCACCCCCCCCCCCCCCCCCCACCCCCCACCCCCTCCTCCTCCTCCTCCTCCTCCTCCTTCTTCTCCTCCCTCCTCTCCTCATCCTCCTCCTCCTCCTCCTCCTCCTCCTCCTCCTCCTCCTCCTCCTCCTCCTCCTCCTCCTCCTCCTCCTCCTCCTCCACCGCCCGCTCCATGTCCCGAGCTTGTGGCAGGGTCATCATCTCGTCGTTGCCGTTGTCGTCGTGGCCGTCGTCGTCGTTGTCGTCGTCTCCTCCTTCTGGGTCGGCGGCACCAGCAATAGGGCCTTAACAATAAGACCGAAAGCAAGGAGTTCCCTTCAGTGGCAAGGGACTCGCTGCCAGCACAAAAAGCCCGCAACTCAAGATAGCTGTCCTGGGCCGAGCTCTGTTCCCAAACGTTGGGAAAGTGGGTGGACGTGACATGCCCAGGAAGGGGAGGAGACGTGCATCAACTGAAGGAGGGGAGCTGGGCATATCAACCCGAAACGTTCCTAACAGGGCAGGCAGTCGGGATACGTCCAGCGTCTTCGCACTGGGGAAAAGAGGCGAGGCAAACGCAGCATCTCCAGGAGAGGAGCAGGATACCACATTGTGAGAAGGGAAGGAAACTAAACTGCCCCATGGGCCGAAACTTGCAATACATTGCCCTGGCCATCTGCAGTTGTAAGTACCGCAGCTGTGAACATCGTATTCGGTGCCGCTCCCTATGGGGCCACGAACCATGTGAGGGGGGTGCCGAAATGGGTGGCGGGACCGCATGCGAACACCGCCATAGTGCCCTTCGGTGGAGCTCCCTACGGGGCCACGAAACGTGTAAGGGGTGTGCCGAAGCAAGTGGCGGGGACACATGTAGACACCGCCATGTGGCCCTTCAGTGCAGCTCCCTATGGGGCCACGAAGTGTGTGAGGGGCGTGCCAACATGGGAGGGAGGAGGGGGAAAAGGGAGGAGGGGAAGGAGGAGGAGTGAGTGAGGAAGGGGCGCGGGGCGCTGTCTCTTCAAAACGAGGACCCAGCACTGCAGGATGGTTGGGGAACGTGAAGGCGACGTCCCCAAAGCTGAAGCTGGCCCCCTTGTAAACCTGAGACGTGTGAGGCGCAAAAACGTGGGATCTGCATTCCAAGGTGAGGAGGGCCACGTCCATTGAATATAGTAAGCGCTGAGATGGAGGAACAAGGGGCTGTGGCAAGCAACATATCAAGAGTATAATGTACCCTCCGTTGGCTGGTATTAGAAGAAAGGGATGGGAGGAATGACTGGGCCTTGTCTGGAGCCTGCCTTCTCTGCAGCCTGACAACCAGCCCTCCGCACGGCTGTGTAAATCATGGCCGTTTATCATATCGCCGCCTTCCCTGCATGGTTACCGAATTGCGGGGAGCGAAAGGAGTGAAGGAAGGGGGGGAGGAAGCAGAAGGAAGGAGGGACGAGGGAGGAGGAGGAAGAGGAGACCAGCGCACCCAGAGGTCAGCTCCCCGCGCCTAGCACGGCGCCTGAGGCAGCATGGGCACGCCTCCTGTCGAAGCTGTTGTAGCTGAGGCCGCCGACGCTGCAGCCCATGATGTGCAGCGGATAGCCGTCGAATTTATATCATTCTTATTCAGAGGATGCTGAGTGCAGGGGGGAGCGAGAACGCAAGAAGGGATCGAAAAGGAAAGGGACGAGAGAGAGACCCTCATCCAACAAGGGGCACTCTCCGCGCCGTGCGCGGGGCCGGGGAGCAACGGTGCGAGGGTCACTAACGGCGCACCGCCGGGCAGTCCCCACTCGCACCGCGCCCCCCGTTGGGAAGACAACCTACGCCTGTACTTCCGCCCACTATGCAGGTGCCTCGGGCTCGGGCGCCTGAGGAAAATGGGCAACAGGAGCCTTTTCCGACGGCACTCACACACATAGGGCAATCTGAGGGTGCCCCCAACTCCTGTACCAGGACTCGTACCAATAGAAGAAGATAGAGTAGCACTGCATGACCATGACGACGAAATTCTCGTCAGAGGCGAAATCGAAGAGGAGGGTCCCGCCATCAGCGACGGACAGGGCGCAAACGAAGGGGCAGCAGCCGTCGAACACGGCCAGGTCGGGGAAAACGAGCACGGGGTAGTAGCGAAGAGAGAGGCGATCCGTGTCCACAACGGAGAAGCTCGTGACGACGGCGTAACTCTCCGAGACGGCGCAACTCTCGAGGATGGCGTGCAGCTCTCGAAGACGGCGCAACTCTCGTTGACGGAGACACTCTCGAAGACGGCGCAACTCTCGAAGACGGCGCAACTCACCATGACGGGGCAACACTCGACGTCGGCGCAATTCACGAAGAAGGCGCAATTCTCGATGTCTGAGCCCTTATTTCCATCAGAGGCGGTCGACCTCCGCACAAGAGACGAGATCTCGCAACTTACTCCAGAGCCCTTATTTAGAACAGAGGCGGTCGACCTCCGAACTCGAGACACAGGCTCGCAACTTACTCCAGAGCCCTTATTTAAAACAGAGGCGGTCGACCTCCGAACTCGAGACGCAAGCTCACAACTTACTCCAGAGCCGTTATTTCCATCAGAGGCGGTCGACCTCCGCGTTCTAACGCCAGTGGCCGCAGGGCTCGAGGAGCACCCTGCGATCGAGACCTGGAGGAGGAAAGAGGCAGGGTCAACGTCACCATCACCATCGGCGGCATCGCCATCATCGGGATCCACTGCTGAGACGAGTGAGGCAAAGTAGTGCACCGACCCGTTGGCAGCAACGATGGGCAGGGACTCGTCTCCATTGCTGTCCACAAGGAAGTCACGAATACGGTGTGGTGCAGCGGGTCCCAAGTATTGCCTCATCTCTCTGCGAATCTCACGAAGGGCTTGGAAATGTCGATCCACCATCTCTTCCCAGAGCCCGTGCCGCGTCAAGGAGTTACGCGGGTCATTCAGCCACCGAAAGTAATCTACAGTATTGAGGCGCCCCTCGGTAGAGGTGTCCCAGGCAACCATGCAGATATGACGAGCGAGTTCGTCGAGAGCACCACTCCAACCAGACGAATCCACCCATTCCATCGCCTCAAATTTGGCACGTACGTATGGGATGCACCACATCAACCAGTCGGCACGGCCGCTCTCGGAGTCATCCAAGCGCAAGATCCAGCGTGTAGCCCTTGGTGCAATACGTTCGCCGAAGACAACAGGTGTTGCATGCTCCACAGAGGAAGAATGTGGATGGCCCGCCAGACGCAGGATGTGAGTACTCGGTGACGGCGTCGACTTCGACGAGGTGGCATCGTCCAGACACCGCAACTGTTCAGGGAGAGAAGGGTCCTCACGAACAGGAAGCCCACCATCACGAAGGCGTTCGACACGCTTGCTGGTCGCACGATATTCACGTTCAAGCCGAGTAACATCCGCCTCACATGCAGCTGGGACAGACATCGACGCTGCATGGACCGCGGAGAGCGCCACCGTGGCGGCAAGCGGCCATGGGAACATGGATGCCGCAGGTCGCGGCGAGGTGGCAGCGGGAGCGGACGCCCGCCCGTTGACGCCCTGCCTTGAGGGCAGGGCCTCGCACTGAGCCAAAGCGCCAGCAGGAATGGGCACAGGAGACACTGGATGGGGAACAGGTTGGCCAGCTTCATCAGCGCCATGTATCACATCGTCGTCACACGGGGTGGGAGGGACCAGGTCAGGGATGGGGGCCGCAGCATCTGAACTCAAACAGGAGGTGGACGATGAGGTGAGCACATCCCACTGAGGCTGCCTTCGGCGGATCGTCTGGACAGCGGGAGGAGGTTCCCACCGTTTCAATTTGGCTGGAGGCCTGGCCAGACGAGAGGTGCGGACGGCGGCCTCAACATAACCACGCAACTGACGGGGAGTCGACACTAGAGCACCTTGCCGAGCATAGTTGAAGACCTGGTAATAGACATAGAGAGCTTCGAAGTGGTCAGGGTGGGGGTGGGTAAGGCCAAGACGCTGAGCCAGGGGGCGAGGCAGGGCGCGCTGTAGACCTTTGCAGACTGCCAGGTACAATTTAGGGCAGCGTAGATAATGTTGCAGCCGATCAGGGCCAGGGCATCCGAAACGACAGCGAAGTTTGCCCCTCGGGTGGATAATCCTATGTGATGTCAGCCATCCATGCCCCCAAGTCCGTAAGGCTGCCATCGCCCAGCTTTGCGGAACCAATGCCAAAAGCTCCTGAATAGCGGGCCAGTGGATCAGGTTGAGGAAGGGGAGGTAAGCTGTGAATAACGGGGTTAAGTGGCGAATCAGCATGGCATGTAGAGGTTTGTGCGTACACATGTTCTGACCCAACGAGCGGGCAGCAGCACGTTGCAGCTTGGGCCTTCGTGTCGTAACCTGAGCTTCCTCACGCATGGCAGAGCGAGCGGCGACGAGTAGGGGCTCTTGA